CCATTAAAATCGGCTCCAGAGTTCAGTACGAAACAATGCTTTCTGATTGGTCCATAAATAATAATGTCATGTTTCTGCCTACGTCTGTATGGTTGATCTGTTCAGAGATCAATGTGCCAAAAAAATGTAAATGTTCTCAAGCCCCCACATAATCAAGAAAACTCTTAAATATAAAACTTCGGCCCGACTTAGCGAGTCCTTAAAATAATCAACTTGTTACATGAATTCAGGGAACCCAACTTCCTTGCTAAAAGTTAATTTTCAACTCAGATTGTAGAATTCAATTTCTTTTCAACATCAACTCGTGACCAATTCAACCAAGATGAGATTCAGAAAATAACTCACAAAATATCTTAACAACATAAAGGAAATCGTAACTATATCAGTCGAAGTGAGACAACTCTACAGTAAGTCAAGCAATCTATTTCATTCAATTTCACCATCAACATAAATTGTTTAATTCCTTACCAGATCTATAGCATAATACTTTTTATATTACCCTTTATCACACAACCAAGAACTCTAAAGTGTTTTAAACAACTTCATTATATTGTGAGTAGTTGTTGTTATATGAAAAATATTTTCTGTTAAAACAAATATCTGCCTATTTGATTATTTCTCTTGTTATTGTTGTCTTTGTTGCATTTGGTTTAGTAAAATTATATAAAATTATTTTAATTTGTATTTTGTCACCAATACAGATTGGCTAACCTACTACAAAAGAAAGAAAAAAAGAAAGAAGGAAAGATAAAAGTGTGCAAATATCTCATAAATAATGGACTATTCCATTTTGATCTCGAGGAAAAATGGAAAGTACATATCAGAGACAATGTTTGATTTCATTGAAAGAGAGATAAAAAAAAGAAAGAGAAACAGAAAGAGAGAGAGAGAGAAAGAAAGAGAGAGAGGGAAACAAAGAGAGAAAGAAAGAGAGAGAGAAAGAAAGAGAGAGAAAGAGAAATAAAGAGAGAGAGAGCAAAACAAAGAAAGAGAGAGAGAGAGAGCAAAACAAAGAAAGAGAGAGAGAGAGAGCAAAACAAAGAAAGAGAGAGAGAGAGAGCAAAACAAAGAAAGAGAGAGAGAGAGAGCAAAACAAAGAAAGAGAGAGAGAGAGAGCAAAACAAAGAAAGAGAGAGAGAGCAAAACAAAGAAAGAGAGAGAGAAACAAAGAGAGAGAGAAAGAGAGAGAGAGAGAAAGAGAGAGAGAAAGAGAGAGAGAGAGAAAGAGAGAGAGAAAGAGAGAAAGAGAGAGAGAAAACAGAAAGAGAGAGAGAAAACAGAAGGAAAGAGAGAAAACAGAAGGAAAGAGACAGAGAGAAACAGAAAGAGAGAGACAGAGCAAAACAGAAAGAGAGAGACAGAGAGAAACAGAAAGAGAGAGACAGAGAGAAACAGAAAGAGAGAGACAGAGAGAAACAGAAAGAGAGAGACAGATACAGAAAAAGACAAAACCAGAAAGAATGAGAAAAAGAAAGACAAAATGAAACACTTTGCTAATATCTCATAAAGAATGGACTATTCCGTTTTGATCTCATGGAAAGAGGGGAAAAGACACGGCTTGCTTTCAGTGAGAAAATGAAAAATAAAAGTAGAAAAGAAATGTTTAATAGCTGTTTCAGTGAAATGGAAAATGTTAATTTCAAATCTTTTTATTTGTACCCCCTTACTTCTTAAAATAATGACCAGCATTCATATCTATGATTGCAGTTACAATATTTTGCTAAATTCAAATATTTTAAAAATGTGATTAGATAATTTCTACGGATATTTTATAGTCAAAGAAATCGTCATGAGCTTCTTCAATCATTTACTGAAAATTTAAGATTCATCAGAAAATTAAATTAGGAAAACGGTAAAATTTTCACAGGTCTTTCTAATTTTATTTTGCTAAATTGTTTGGAGTTATCTCCCCTTAAAAGACATTGTTTAAACAAAGTAGTCTCCCCTCATCAACTGAGGTTATGTTCTAATATTTGGGTATTTGTAATTAACTACGCATAGTCCCGAACTAAACATATACTAATATTTTTTTGTACATACCTATAACATTTAACTTTTAGATTATAAACAATAAAAAAAACTAGCAATAAAAACTATACTGAAATAAGTCATGCGACAGATAGAAAATTCCTTCTTACCATAGATCTTATCAGGATTAATATGATACAAACAATATAATCTTATTATAAAACGCAAATTGTGTGTGTGTGTGTGTGTGTACGTTTATATATTGGATCGGATTTCCTACATTTTTCAACCGATTTCAATAAAACTTCACAGGATTGCATAAAATTACCTTGCGGTGGTTCTGACAGCGCCAAAAATTGGAAAAACACAATTGTTTTTGCACGAAATCAATTTGAAAACACGATAAAACACGATTCTGTCACCAGAATGAAAGGGGGACAACTCATATCGAGTTATACTTATAAAACCCAGGTTGTTTGTGTGTGTGTGTTCGTTTATATATGGGATCGGATTTCCTACATTTTTAAACCGATTTCAACAAAACTTCACTTTTTTTTGGCAGGTAATGTTTCTTATTGTCTTGCACACTTTTTTCTTTTAATTTTACATTCAGAATGCTTTAAAAATTCCATTTACAAGACAATTGTTTATAATAAAATTCTATTCAATCGATAGACTCATAACCATTGAAAACAATGTTTTTGCTTGAAAAAAAAAAAAAAAAAACTAATTAAGACATGCGTGTCCGTCAACCTTAAACAATAATCTTTGTCAATTTTATTTTTCAGTCTTTATGATGGTCGATACTTGATCTATCTCTTACTGTTACATCCCCGGGCAACGCCGGGCTCTACTGCTAGTTAATAATAAAAAAGACAAATAAATTAGCAATGTTTAACCTGCGCAAAAAAGAAAAGGGCCTGGAAAAAAAGGACGGTTATTCCCTTGACACCGTTATTACTGTATACTTTTGTTTTGACTCCCCCGGCAGTATTTTTTTATAAAGCTGTAAATAAACATGTGAAATAAATTCTTTATGTGTTGTGTCTCCCCTAGGTTGGAGGCGATCGTGGCTTTCCAATTTCCTGTCTCCTTTGGCTCTTTATAAACTTTGTCTTTCTGTTATTTCTCCTAAGTTCTTCTTTCCTCATTATGTGCCTCAGAAACCTCAACTGTCTCTTCCTGATGTGAAGTATTAGTTTTCTTTTTGTTTTAATTTTCTCCAAAACTTCGTCATTGCAAACTTGTTCGGTCCACGGTATCCTCAGCATCCTTCTGTAGAACATTTCAAGTCTCCTCTTCATCTTTGAAGAGATTGTCCAACAGTCCGTACAATGCGATATTTATTTACCTTTTATAACGATTTATTATTTACTATTTTATAAAGATATACATTCGAAAAAAATATTTTTATTTAAAAATTTATAAAAATTAAAAATGATCAAAACATTTAAACCAACGACAAAGCAGTAATTATTAGTCAACATTTTATAAATAACTATGGAAAATACTTTTATTCAATCTAATAAATAAATAGTGCTTTATCTTTGTTGTCATTTATCAAGATTAAAAAAATGTATAAATTCATTTTTATATGTTTGGATTTTATTAAAATTCTAATCATCGCTTTCTAAAAGCAATAAATATTGCCCAGGGAGTCAAAAGTGTATACAGTAATAGCGGTGTCAAGGAAATAACCGTTTTTTGACAAACTTTTTTTTGATAATAGCCTAAAGTTAATCCGTGCAAAAAAAAATCATTTTCGTCCTTAAATATTTCAGACATTTTTAAACGAAAAAAATAAAAATAAACTCCCTTTTGCCCAATTTGACACTGACAAAACAGAAATTAAAATACTTTTAAAATATACAAAATCACAATTTCGGAACATATTTTCGCTGCGTTCACACTCAAAATTATTTTTTAATAATATAGTGTGGTGATAGATAAATAAATAACAAGAAAATCAAAATTATACCATCTATAAAAATAAACGGATAATAGAGATCGTCAGGCAAACAAAGCCATAGTTCGATGAATCAATCAGAATAAGCGATTAACAACAATAACTAATAATAAAATAAAACAATTACTAATAATATACTATAATAACATTTAAGCGACAGATTCCTTCTTACTGTAGTTCATATTTGCCACAATAAGAGATTAACAATTAATAATAAAATAAAACGATTATAACAATATACTGTAATAAAGGTTATAGAATATTCATTCTTATCAGGGTCGCAACTTGTAAAGGATATATGGATTTACAGGTTTACGATAGAGTGACGTTAGGGTTAAGAACTATCGGAGATTTTGAATTCAATATTATCAGAAATAAATTTCAACACATGGACGAATTTTTATATAATGTATAACACGATTAATTAAAGAGGTAAAGTATACAAGAGTGTTCACAGATAGCTGAAAAGAGTAAGAAAAACATTTATAGAGTTGGTGATAGAGTGTGTGTGTGTGTGATTTCGTGAGAGAGATGCACCATGTGGTCGGGTGACTAAGTCCGCCTAAAAGGGAAAACTGAACAAGTTTTCTACTTACTACATTCAACAACGAAAAGAGGAAGAAAGAGCTTGTGTCTTTTCTTTTATATTCCTTAGCAACGTCACCAAGAAGGCGTCTTGATAGACCAAGTGGAGGTAATCCCATAACTGTAGATCTTAGCAAATTTGGCATACAATTGTTTTTTCTTTCCCTATTATGTCGAAAAACTTTCGCCTTTCCATTTAAAAGACATACCATACAGCATGTCTTTGATATATCCAAATTTAATTAATATATCACTAATTTTGCGCTATGGTACAGAAGTAAAATTTATGAATTATTTATCTTGGGAGTTTTACTGCGGGTAATCAGAATCGTGGAAACGAACCGAAGATAGAGAAAAAAAACCACTTAGCATTTAGTACAATAAAAGATCACTCAGTAAATAGTGAATTCAGACAAGAGAATCAAACAGGGGCAGAAGTTTAATTATTTGGGGAGGGTCGTAATAGTCGCTGGAAAAGTTGATGCAGGTGTTGCGGGTTGTAGCTGAGTGAAAAGGTATCAGAAGGTAAATTTATGTAAGACAAAGATTATGTGTGCTTATTATGCATTATCCCACAACACGTAGATCAAATAAAGAATATAAGGACTATTTGTATTGCAAGAAATTACTAAAAACACAGTGGTTAGAGATCCAACAATAAAGAGATTTTTATATATACAATAGATATACATGCAAGGATAACAGAATGTTTGTTGATTGTGGCAATTGAGACAAGGCTATGAAGAATGTTCATGCAGAAATTTGGTCAATAAAAGTTAATGGTTTTTATTTGTTAGTGAAATTAAAATAATTTAGTTTCTGCAAGGGAAAAATCTCAAATGTGTTCGTTCAAATATTAGTGTGTATGCGCGTGTTACTTGTTAGTTAGAATTTAAGTTGTGAAGAGTTGTTTGCCTTTAACTGTTTGGCTAAATTGATGAATTGTACAATTACTGTTTGTGTAGAGAAAATGTTCACTTTTTAAGTCAATTGTAATATGGTTACCACGCGGACAATGGTCGATTGAGTGCTGTGTTGAGTTTGTTGAGAATTTTGAAGTGTGGTTGAGTCAGTGAATTGACACGTGTGGAGTTCGGTAGCATCTCACGAAACTTGATGATTGACTGACATGAATTGAGCCATGCGGCTGTTTATATAGACTTTGATGTCTAAAAATCGGCTCCAGGGAGCTTCGGCGAGAAAAAAGGATGTTTCGACTTTGCTACAGTTTAGTGTTTCTTAACCAATAGAAGATTGAATTTACTGAAACGAAGTGGTGATTGGTTGTTAAGGCTTTTTCTTAGGGAAGAATACATCTTTCCGAAAGGGGTAGAAGGCTAACGTGGAAGATTCCACACAGATATCTAAAGTCGTACTGAAATAGCGAAGCCAGAGTATAGACAAAGTATTAAGAAATAGAAAATTTCGTTAAAAATAAAGGAAAAAGCGCCGAACTGCTATGTTATATAGATCCTCCTCTAGTGAACAGTAGAGACAATTAGCTCACGGTTGAAGATAAGACATGGCAACAGATGTGGTTCTGCAGAAGCATGCTGAGAATACTCTGGTCGGAGTATGTAAACAGCGAGAAGGTTTTAAAGAAAATGGGATACAAAAAAGACACATATACTTAGAAAGAGACAGATGAAGTTTCTGGGAGACAATGAGGAAAGGGGGCTTAAAGAATTTAATACTCACAAGACAGGCGATATAGAGGGAAACAACGAATAACATACCGAACAAATTGATGGTAAAGTAGACACTTGGGAGGGATGGAAAGGGGACAAACGTTGCTTTGAGCTACAAAGGACAGGAACCTGTGGAGAGCCATGTTCGTCCACATCTTGAAGGAACGCAGAACATAAAACGAGACGACCTAGGAATCATCGCACAAAGAGGAGACAACTCTTTTCTTTTACGCATTACAAAGTTGTTTTTCCTTTAACCAAATTCTTTTTTATATTTAATTAATTATTTCTTTACTTATGTAATTTTTCTTTTTCTTCCTACTTTTGTTTTCTTTTTTTTTCTATACTTTTTATTAAATTGTTTTTCTTTCTTTCCGTTTAATTCTTTTTTTCTTTAAGATTAGATTCTTTTTTCCACTCCTTTTCTTTCTTTTATATTATTTCTTTCTCGCTTTCTTTTTAATTCTCTTTTTCTTACTCTTTCATTCTTTCTTTTCATTTTAATTCTAATTTTCTTTTGCTACTCCCTTTCTTTCTTTTACTTTCTTCTTCTTCTTTCTTTCACTTTCATTCATCCTTTATCATTCTGTCGTTCTATTTTTTAAATTTTTCTTTAGTCTTCTTTCTTTCGCTTCCGTAATCTTTATTTTTTATTTTACTATCCTTTTCGTTAACTTTTTTTTCTATAATTTTCTGTTTTTCCTTCTTTACTGTCGTTTGTTACAGACTTTATTCCTGTCTTTCTTTAGTTTTTCTTTTATTACTGTTTTTCATTCGTTACTCTCCTTTAGTTTTATAATTCTAATTACTTCAGCTTTCTTTAGTTTTTTTTTTTTAAATCTTTTTAATTAGTCTTTTGTTATTGTCTATCTCTTAACTTTCTTACTTTCTTTAATTCTTGTCTCTTGTATTACTTTCTTTTTTCTTTCGTTTTTTATCTTTCTTTTTTGTCTTACTTTATCTTTCTTTTTTTACTGATTTGTTATTGTCTCTTTTTTTTAGATTATTTTGTTTCGTTACTTTCTTTTTTGTTTCCTTTGCTTATTTATTTATTTGCTTTCTTTACATTGTTTCGTTTTTTGCTTCCTTTGCCTTGTTTGTTTCTATTTTGCTTTGTTTCTTTCTTATTTTTCTGTATTTCTCACTTTCTTGTCGAAAAAAAAAAAAACAAAAAAAAAACGCGTCTGTTAGTTTGTGCTCAAATTATTTATACGACTTCAGCGTCCAACTAAGGAGACATAAAACACAAAATATTTTCCTGTGCCAGAGAAAAGGGTCCTTTAACAATAAAATCTCCAATTGATATAGTCGTCCCAAGAAGTGGAAACAAACTTTTAAAAAAGGCAATTAAAATATAGAACGCATTCCCGACATTGTGAGAAACGCTTTTTCTCGACTGCCATAAACAGCTTTTTAAGTGCTGTATGTGACAAGTGTTATGTCAACTTTTGCTGACCGGTATTTTACAGTAATGCTCCTCATAAAAGTATCAGATTCAAAGTTATTTGAAGGGAATAAATTTTCAGCACCTTCTAAGAGCCATTATGATGAAGAAAATTCAGAGAATTTAAAAATCTACAGTGGCACAACTTATATACATGTTGTCCCTAAAAAACTGATATCATTTTGTAGTCTAATAACAGTCAATTCTCGCTCAAATGATCTCAAATTTTAACAAACTGTGTAAAAAAAAAAAAAAAAAAACTTTAACTGTGCGAACTTTTCTCAATGAAAATCTACAAGGAAGATGGATCGGGCGTTCCAATGTGTTGTTGAAATGGCTACCACACTCACCTGACTTGTGATTTGGGGGCTATGTGAAAAGATAGGTCTACATTTTCCTCTTAATACGAGAACTTAAGCAGAGAATCATTGACGCGCTGGAGAATGTTACGCTAGACATAAGACAGCGAGTGACTGTTTTGAATACAGTGATGTAATACACAGACCACAATAATACAGGTGTACCAAATTTGATACTGACTGATATTTTCTTGTCGATTTTTGAACGCAATTGTATGCCATTGCTAAGGAGCTTAGGGTTTCAAGGCACTCTATTGGAGAATTGTGCGTGAGGACCTTTGTCATATATTATACAGAAAGGTCAACTCGTGTCTCTAAAGACAAAAGATAGCCGACTGATCCGCGCAAAGCGCTTCTTGAGCAAGTTGACACATTAAAAACCTGAGATACTTTGGTTTTTCTTATGAGAAAACTTTGATCAGAACCAAAAGGTCAACTGAAGTAATGAAAGATGATTATGCAGGGACATTAAGGACGTTACAACGGTAATACACGCTAAGTTTCTGGCAACTGCGATAGTTCTAGGACCCGTGAGTAACGTGGGAGATGTCATGCCTTCCGCCACTTCTTTCCTCGGAGCTTAGGTGTCAATACTACTGAGGCGTTGGAGAGGATTGTGAGGCGTTGGAGAGGATTGTAAGGTCTTGGATAGAAAGCGTGAGCAAAGGAAGACCGTACAATTACTAATAAGACTGCACCGTCTCATACGACCAAGATAACCAGGGAAGGTCATAGTCATAACACAATGTTACACGAAGTCGAAAGAAGGAAGAGCACGTAATCAGTCATCATTTCATTTAACTATGTGTCAGGTTTATAGAATCACATAATTTTAACTGTGAAACGTATAAAATTTAGGAGGTATCAGAGAAGAGATTTGGGGTCTGTGGTGTGACATCAAATCGACTTGTTCAATTAACATCAAACAACGGCAAATGTATTATTTACGCTACTCGTTATGATAGATCACTCTACCGGTCTTATTGGTACCATGTAACCCATTACTATCATGGTCGGGTCATCAGCGACTAAACTGGTTCTTCCTTCAGGCTTTTCAGATGAAGGCTAGACATAAGCCGTATCAAAGTGAAGATGAATCATCTCGTAGAGGTAACAGCCATCTAGGACGATGAGGGAAAAGTCTGCTTCATAGGTATGTATGTAGCCAGTGGATGCTGACACGGCGTCGCTTGGCGGAGGGCTTTCTAAAATGAAGTCAATGGTCATGATGGAGTATTCACCTGATATAATCATCGTCAATGTGAAAGGTGAGCTTTCAAGGTGGAGGATATCAGCTGTGGTTTCACCTGGGGAGCTCTGCAAAGTCTATTTGCCCAAGACACGCTACACATGTACACATTTTCATGCGCTGAAAAATTATGACTTGTAACATGAGGTTCTGTAATATTATTTAATTTTTTTAGGTGAAGTATTGTTTCTTTTACACAAGTATTTATTTTATTTAACCTTCATTTCAGTTGCTTGGATGTGCAGGTGGTGTAATGGATAAAAGCTAAAAAATGAGAAATCGGAAATCCGAGTTCGAAAACCAGTCGGGTGCGTTATATTTACTTAAGTTAAAAAAAACAAAAAAAAAAAACATTACCGATGGAGTAAAGAAACGGTGTAATAGCGGTGTCAAAGGAATAACCCCCATTTTGAAACACTATTTGTTTTGAGGGTACAAAAGTCAAACATTGTCAAAATTTCTAAGTTTTAAGAGGGTGCTTTAGTTTACAAAATGATTAAATTATAATTGTTTAGCTGCATTTTACTTATCGAATAATCTTACAAAATCAATCAAGGAGTGGAAACTTGTTTCTCCTTACTTAACAATCAAGTGTGTGAGACTCACCTTCGCAAGGAGGTTTCCAACTAGCGTCCAGTTGGCTGACTCAATACATTTCGTTTCTTGAATAATAGTCACAGTATGCTGGATATTTATTGAGCACGATATCCACACCGGAATCATCAGCCAATCAGAACTTACAGAATAGGCTTATCCAGGTAACAGATTGGAATCTCCCAGGCTGTTACTTAAAGTGTAACTAAGGTCCGCTCAGCATAGTTGCAATATAAAATACAGGTTGGCTCTGTGGATATTGTAGATAACCAAATAGGCCTGAGCTTGGAATCAAACAGTCATGCTGAAGATGTGAAGTCTCACTCGTGTGCTTTCAAGTCGAACCAGCTCTGATGATAAAGGGAAATAATACGTTTAAATTTATTTTGGGACTTTTTTAAATATTGGCTTGTAAGGGCCTATTGGTTGAAAGATTTATTTTTGGAACATTGGGGTTACCAATTGTAAAGGTGTCCGTTTGTAGATAGACCAATATTATTTATATTATTATACTTTTAACGTACAGAATTCAAGTAAACAACAAAAACTCCAAACTGTGAATCAACAAGTATATATTGAAATAACATACAAGAACAAACATGCAATAAAATTGTATTCAATGTATAGATTAAGGGAAGTAAGTTGTTCCCCTTTAATTGTATTTTGATTTGTAATTGATTGTTCGAAGAAGGTTCTTTTTGAGACAAAAATGTTCAGGAATCAATATTAGAACAAAGGATTGTTTGTTAAAATAAATAACACAAGAATACAATTGATCAAAAATGTGTTGTGTTATAGAATGGTTCGAAATCAACAGAGTCCTGGTTGATTGAGCTTGGCTAAGTCACAGCGAGAAATGTAAGTTTATATTACAAAATTCTGTGTCTGTGTGTGCGTTTGGAATGTTATGAGCAAGATCGTGGACTTGTATGGACAGGTGAATTTTACTGGATCTTACTGACGACTTGTGAAAAAGTCGCCTCTTTTATGGAAAAAGGGTAGGCTCCCACGGCAACGTGGGAAAACTTAATCTTGCACTAAAATATGTGATTGGTTAATTTTTAACCAATCACTACATTCGTACTAACAGAACAAGCAAGCAAGCTCAAAAAAACCGAAGGATTCAAAGAAACGACTGCGATGGCCAAATTGTCCTACATAAAAGTAGTAGTGATTTATTAGCCAATCGCAGGCGAATAAAATGTGGGCGTGGAAAAACAGCAATTGCTACAGGCTTATTTTCACGCAACACAGGAAAAAAGTAAGAACAGGCTTTAAATAATATAGATATTTGTTTTTGCTTGAGTAAAGGGGATTAATTTACAACGAATTTACACAGCAAATGAAAACTTAGAAAATTTTAAAAAAGTAAAATGATGTGTAGTGGACCCCTAGAGGGGAGGGGGTGATATAAAAAGTCCTGTACTCCGAAAATAGGATAGTCACGGGAGGCCCGCTAACATTTAAAAATAAAAGACGTGAATCTGACAGGTCAACAAGAGGACAACAAAACGATAAACTATAATTAATACAAAATTTATTTACATCATATACAAAAATAAAGTAGTGTTTCGATTATCATTAAAGGAACATGAACATTTAATTGAAGGAAGTGGGGGGTAACGTAATGAAAAAAAGTCAAGGTTTTGAAGAAATATTGCGTCGGCCATTATTACGAGGTCGGAGTAGCGAAGGGCTACGATATACAGTGTAACCCGGATATAAGAGAGTTGTCGGGACCGGAGAAGAAGTCTCTTATATCCGGGTTTCTCTTATATCCGGGTTTAGTCTATTTTATATACATTAACACAGGCTCTAATTTGGGACCAGAGAAAATATCTCTTATATCCGGGTTACACTGTTCAACAGTGATATGAAAAAACAATCGAAAAAATTATTTCTTGAAAAAGTTGCGTTTCTGCAGAAGGAAAAAAAAAAAAAAAAAAAAAAAAAGGATAAAAGAAACCAACATTTTAAAGGATGTAAAGGTTCTAAATAAAATGATTCCGTAGGAAAGAAAAGAAAAAAGAAACGTTAAAATTTTTCATTTTTAACAACTTGGATAAAAGAAAAAAAAAAGAAAAAAAAGATGTAAAGAAAGAAATGTGAAGAGAAAGTCGAATAAAGCTAAGGAAAGGACTTAGCTTTCAAGAGGCGAGCAAATCACTTGTGATTTATTGAGGTCAAGGCGCGTTCCCCGCGTCAACTTTGATGGTTGTATTTATTTGACGCCAAAGATCGCCCGGCTCCATTTTCGACAAAGAAATTAAGAGACGCATGCGCAGGACAAACACGTCAACTTCAAAACAACTTCAGTTTCAAGTTCGGGACTTGGTTTAACGGCGAGAGCAACAGGTTGGCGGATGTAAGGTATGTGGATATTATTGTATATATAAGTTAGCTTAAGACCTTGTCTGTGGCCTTGTACTAACTTACGCTCTGGAAATAACAGTCGATTGGACGTTTAAGTGCGAAACAGATGTTAAGCTCGTCACGCAGACCAGTGAGGTCGATCGTCCATTGGCTGACGTGACCGGAAATAGAAACATGGAAGAAAAGTCATAAAGTACGCTTTGTTTGGGTATG